ATACAATCACCTAAATATTCTAATTAAACTACAAAATTTTGAATTAGGATACGAGGTAAGACATGCAAATAGATATTTCAAAACTACCTGTAGAGTCCAAAGAACTTAATAAATAAATCATTCTGGAGGCAATGCAAATTCTCTCTAATCTTTCATTTGATGTAGTTAGTGTTATCATAGTACCCGTATGTATTCATGGGAAATAAATCGTGGACAAAACGTGGACACTTTTTTGTGTGATATTCCAACATGGGTCCATCGTCCTGCCAATATCCTTAAGGCAGATCACATAAAGGATGAGAGTCCCTCTATGAGATTGCTCACAAGAGACTCAAACTTATATCTGATCATGGTAATGTTGAATTGCCTTGCATCAAAAGCATCGACAATGATAAACGGGGACATATGTTTTAGTATGCATAGTGGAGGAAAACTCAACATTGGCCTTTCCAGCAGCTTTTCTGAGCCTTTGCAGTGCTAACTTATCCTTACTCAGATAGTCAAGAGGTGCACCATAAAATTATGCACCACTAAAAAAAGTGTCACCATTGGTTGCCTTGACCTGAAAAATATGTCGAAATTAAGAATTGCAACACCTAATTCAACATCTTGGAACAGACATTCAAGTGGATACCTTATTCTACAATATATATATATCTGTGTGGAATAGTCCTAAAGCCACATATAATTATACGGTGAGTATAACATACTTTGTTTTAAAATTTATGAGAGATTTTTTAAGACTCCATGTGACAGGCACTAATATTTACATATATACTCGAACCTGTTTGTACAGGATTATATGGAGATGCAACGGAACTTATTCATGGATTTATTGGCGCATGAAAGAAATGGATATCGGAGAATTCTTTCTGCCGATATAAAATATTATCTTAGCTATATCACGAAAAAGTCTATACATTAGAGTTTGTGAGCCTGCGACACCGCACTCTCCGTGGCTGTGTTAATTTCACGAACTTTGTTTTTTGAATTAAATATTACTTTAACGTTGGTATTTAATTTAACATTATTGTTATCTTATCATACGATCCGTCTATTTTTAGTACAAAAGATTTAGTTGTCCCGTAGCAACACACGAACACCCTATCTAGTATAAAAAGAAAGGGAGGAAATCCTGCGGGGGACAGGGACGGGGGATATCTGACGTGGCCGCAATAATCGGTGTACAGTGCAACGGATCTGAGCGCACCACGGTACCAAACCGCTTGCATGGACGGCTCCGATGGAAACCCAAATTCAATACCAGGAGAGGGAGAGCTGGCATTGTAGGAAGCAGTACGAGCGCGCGCGGCTGCGCCTGCACGTCGTTGTTGCACCTGGTCGTGGCCCTGGCCCGTCCGTGAATGAATTGTCTCCTCGGAGAGTCGGCTATCGGCGTGTGAAGGGTGACAGCTGGGGCGTGCCGGCGCGGCAGCCTTCTTCTCCATCGGGCTCCGATGCACTCCTTACCTGCTAGTAGCTGTCCTGCTCGATCGATCCGTGTAAGGTACCGTACCGTACACAGTGGCGTTTGATTCCTCATTTATTAAAATTTGTCCAAGGCTTGTAGGTTCGGTGTGGTAGACGGTAGCACTCTGACGGTAGCTTTATTATTCAATTATTTTTGTCCGCGTGTCCTCCGTCCTGATCCTGCTGCTCTTCTCTTCTGTGTTGTCGCTGATGAACTCTGTGTGTGTGTGTGTCCAGCACTCCAGTCTCCAGCCAGCGTGTGCAGTCGGAGTCCGGAGTCCCCGATCGGCCGACCGGCATGTGCACGCATTATTCCGCCGCCGGTTATGTCCACGTCAACTTTGTGTAGGAGTACACTCCTGTGTAGTGGTAGCTGGCTTCTGTGGGTGACAAAGCGACACGTCCACACACGTATACACATGTGGATCAACACACGTACGGTCTTGCATACTGTATATATACGACGCATACTCCATTTCTGCTCATATTAGGAGTATGATATGCCATTCCCAAAGTACACTAGTATTTATATATATACTAGTACTGTATGTCGGCCAATAATCGTACCCATGCATCCTTGAATCCTTGATTTTTTTTTAGGAAACTTGTATCCTTGATCCAACTAGGGGCCAGTTTGGTTCCTGAAATTTTTACAAAATGACACTGTAGCGTTTTCGTTGTTACTTGGCAATTAGTGTCTAATCATAGTCTAATTAGATTTAAAAGATTTGTCTCGTGGATTTCGTCTAAACTGTGTAATTAGTTTTATTTTTTATTTATATTTAATGCTTCATGCATGCGTCTAAAGATTCAATGTGACGAAGAATCTTGAAAATTTTGACATTTTGGGAGAGAACTAAACAGGGCCTAGGAGCCATGCTGCACCTGCACCTGCACATGCATCAGCATCTGCAGTTGCTACAAGGCAGTTGCTACAAGTCTATCTGCTGTACTCAACGACGGACGTGTGGGCAGTGATCGAGACTTGGTATCACTGGTAGACGATGACGGTATAGTCTTTTAGGTATAGAGAATTATAAATATTGATATCATTTGTCTATCTGTATTTAGTTAATAAACTCAAGATATTTTAACGTGGTAATATGTTAGAGTTGTATCCTTCAGTGTGGACCGAGGAACAATACTAGAAAAATACCATATGAACCTACTACATAGATAAAAAGCCAAAATAACTTAATTAGAGCAGTACATATATGCTGGCGGTGCACGTGACAGAGGGGGAGCGACGGGACACGCACGCTGCAATAGTTATGCCCCGTTTAGATGTGGAAATTTTTAGCTTTTGGCTACTGTAGTACTTTCGTTTGTATTTGGCAAAAATTGTTTAATTATGGACTATTTAGACTTAAAAAATTTGTCTCGCCAATTACGGATAAACTATGCAATTAGTTATTCTTTTTATCTACGTTTAATGCTCCATGCATGTACTGCAAGATTTGATGTGATAGGGAATCTTAAAAAATTTTGGATTTTGGGTGGCATCTAAACAGGGCCTTAGCAGGACGCTTGTGAAGTTTGTGAGCTGTGACAGCTGCATGCGCGCGCACCATTCTCCACGCTCCACGGCATGGCGTCTACTGAGCACTTCATTCGTGATATGATATCGAAGGGAGTCGTACTATTATCTTACATGTCTCTGTGTAGGACTCCATCCGTCACAGAAAGAAAATGGTTACGGGATGCGAGTACGTCCAACACTGTGAACTCGATCAATTTTGGGACACCGAAAGTGAAGAAGAAGAAGGAAGGACATATCGCCAGTCCCAGTCAGATGGAATGACGGGAGAAGAAAACAAAAGGCGTCCGGATGTGCGTGCGGAAGCGAGGACGGCACATGGGCACACGGCAGCCAGTAGACTTGGGCGCGGACCACGGGACGTTGATTTACGACGAGGATGGTGGGCAACCAAAGAAAATCCCAGTTTCAGTCGAGTATGTGTGGTATTCAAGTTGTGTGTGGGACGTGTTTATCTCTGGATCGGTCATCACGTGGGCCTGTCGGCTGTCTCCCGTAAATACAGTACAACCAACTAACCAAGTCATCTGAGGATCTTCCTCCACCGGTTAATCTCTTTGGATGGTAGTAGAGCACATACTTTTCGAATATGAAGTGAATTGCCTTTTTCCCGTCAGGTTAAACCTTGGGATTAACCTAATCGATGCATGCAAACTCAATATGATATCAAACCCATACGAGAGGTGTCGAGTTTTAATCCTAGCTAGCATAATTAAATAAAAATAATGCATGCAACTCGATCAATAACCTAAAAGGATTCTTAGGTGTTTTTTAGGGGGAAAAAAAAAGAAACCTCTTCAACCTCAATGACGCCCATATGTGGCCATATTGTACAACGAGTGAACGAGGACCAATCGATCAGTAGATTATTTTCTTCTCTGCCATGTGATATTTATGTACCGTGTCTTGTGTACATCATCAAGCTTTAACACCCATGCTATAGTATAATAAAAACCAACAAATAAGCTTCTACTTCTCTTGTTGCTTGGCAATCTCCATTTTTTCTTCCAAAAAACATACTATAATTATATATTCACCTCTATATAAATGTTTGGCCAGCTTATATTAAAATTGATGAAATTGCCCATCGTCTTTCTTACACCGAACGGTCATATGTTGTCTACCACTAAAAGAATAATTAATTGTAAATACAGAGCCTACTCGAATCTCCATCCTTAGTTCCTTGCCTCTACCCTACACGACTACACTACTCAGAGTTTCTCAAATTAAGGGATGTTCTCTCATCTCGTCTTATCCTGACCAACAACATTTCCTGCCACCATTATATTGTGCCAACTGCAACTGCTAGAGAAGAATTATTGTATATATGTATACTACAGCTATGAGTTCAACTGTTCAAGTCATCTAGTTCAGAGTTCAGCCACACACAGCAATCCAACTACACCTCATGTGGAGAGAGAAATAAGAGAAGCTTCTTCAAGCTCAATCTAAACCATAGGCGAATCAAAATCAATGGGGAAGGCAAATAAATTATGCTTTGAAAAAGGTAGAGGCGTCAGGCGTAACAAGGCTCTCTTTCATCTTACCACTGCATCAAAGCCCAAACGATTTCAGCTACAACACTTTACCAGTGCCCATGCATGATCATTCAATTCAAATGAAATGAGCCTGGTATGTCCTACAGCTGTAAGCGCAAGAAAGGAAGCACCGATTTTGGGCGAACACAAAGAACAGCTTTATATGATCTTTATATTATCGATCGGGACAAGCAAAAGCAAGTTATTACCACAAAACCACAAATAACTGAACAGAGCCCAACACGACTAGAGAAATTGCAGAAATCCAAACCAAAAATACTTGGATATATAGATCAAGACGCCACACGCCAGCCTACCTGGTATGTCCTACAGCTGCAGAGTGTTATCTTCTTAATATAATGATGCGTAACTCTCATGCGTTTTCGAGAAAAAATACAGCCGCAAAGTGTTCGTGGGGCAAGAAAAATATACTTGAATGATACACTACAGTAATTCTATTGCAGGAGAGGCTTGACTTCATCAGTGCCTTTGCCGCCCCACTTTTGCACACGGCTTGAAGCTTGTGCTGCCTGCAGTTGCCAAAACAAAGAAGATCATGAGCAAGCAGTTATCAGTAATTACCTCTGCTTGCAATTGCAAGAACCAAGGGATAGTACAAAAAGCCATGAAACTACTAGTAGATTGCTACCTCTGCTTTCCAATCTGTCCTCCAAATCACAACTAGCAAGATGATCGTCTGAAGTGTGATACCACAAAGCATGCCAGACCAAATCCCCTGCGAGTATCATCATCATCATCATCAGAGATAAAATTAGAATGTGAGGGAATGTAATTAATTAATCAAATTACAAGGGTTGACTAACTATGTGTGTTTCATTCATGCAACATCATAAAGATGGATAGCAATTCCAACTTGTGATTGCAAACAACATGCAGTTGTGAGAATTGAATTACCCCAACTCCAAAGTTGAACTTGTAGCCGAGCAAGTAGCCCAGGGGCAGGCCGAAGATGTAGTAGCAGCCGAGGTTGATGTAGGCAACGATGCCTTGCCATCCACCCCCAACCGCGACCCCTGAAACCACAGGCTGCACGCTGTTGAGCACCATGGTGAGGCCGAGCAGGCCGGCGATCTTGGCGACGGCTCGCTGCAGCGTGGCGTCGCTGGTGAATATGATGGAGAAGCTGTCTCTGAAGATGAGGATGAGTGCCATGCACACGATCCCGATCAGCAGCGCCTCGCCGACGACCACCATGACGGCGTTCCATGCGGCCCTTGGACGGCCGGAGCCAAGCTCATTGGAGACCCGGACACTGAAATTGAATGGCCAAAAGGAGCACAGCAGAGCAGAGGTTGTATATATAGCTATATATATTAGTACCCGGCAACAGCAAGTGTAGAGTTTTGTACAAGGAAACAAGTGACCTGATAGCAGCATTGAGGCCGATGAAGATCATGCCCTCCCATCCGTTTATGTTCATGCTGAAGATATATGGGAGGGAGAAGAGCCATGTTCGTGAGTCAGTTAGTTGTGGTTGAGTGGTTGGTTAGTTGTGCCCGATACCAAAAGATTATACTCCACTACTTAACAAAGAAGGGATCCTAATAATAATCTAATAGATTAGTACTCCGATCGCACGTACCATATGCCTAGCGAGTCAACGGCAATCTGCGCGTTCTCGAGGTCGCCGGTGAGCACGGTGATGGTGCTCATGTACCATATCTCGAGGCAGAGCATGACGGCGGACTCGAGCGAGAGCCTGACGAACGCCCAGATGTCGCGGAAGGCGGCGGCGGACCATCCCCTCCAGCCGTCCTTGCACCATCCGACGATGTAGGCGATCTGGCCGAGCGCGATGATCCAGTGGGCGACGTCGTAGGCGGCGGCGGCGCCGGGGAGGCCCCAGCCGAGCACGTAGACGAAGAGGTAGTTGAGGAGGACGTTGGCGAGGAGCGCCCCGAAGCCGATGTAGGCGGGCACGGTGACCTTGCTCTGCGCCTGGAGGAACTTGCTGGCGCCGAAGTTGATGGCCATGGCGAAGATGGAGGGATGATGTAGATGGAGAACCTGGCGGACTCGCGCGCGACGTCGGCGTCCTGGCCGAGGAGCAGGAGCAGCGGCTCGGCGAAGACAAAGAGGGGCGTCATGAGGACGCAGGCGGCGACGAGGGTGAGCCAGGAGCGCTGGAGGTAGACGCCGAGCATGGCGACCTGGCCGGCGCCGAAGGCCTGGCCACAGAGCGTCTCGAGCGCGCTGCCCATGCCGAGGAGGAAGCCGAGCGCGAAGGTGGAGAAGACGGAGAGGCCAATGGAGGCGGCGGCCAGCGGGAGGTTGCCGAGGTGGCCGATGAACATCTGGGTGATGGAGCTGATGGCGTACATGCTGAGCATGCCCACGGCGATGGGCAGGCCGATGCCCCAGAGGCGCTTGGACTCGTCCCAGACCATGCGCGCGGCGTCCTCCGCGGTGCGCACCGGCGGGGTGTCGAGGTCGTTGGAGGCCTGCCGGCCGCCGAGGAGCGGCGCCCCCTCGATGGTGCTGGCGTCGCCCCCCATCGCAGCAGTTCTCCCGGCGCCGCCGGTGCTCGCTCTCGCGCTCGCGATGGAACAAGGTGAAGTGGGGTGTCTTCGCGTCGCGTCCGCCCGCTACCCGTCTCGTCGCCCCTGCATTTAGTAGGGGATGCATTCGGCCTCGTTTAAATAAAAGATGTAAAGTTTCGACGTGTCACCTCGAGTTTTGGTGCATTTATTTGAAGTGTTGACTTACGTGTAGCGCCATATTATTAAATTATAGGTTAATTAGATTTAAAAAATTATCTTACAAATTAATTATAAACTATATAATTAATTATTTTTTAATTATATTTAATACTTTATATACATGTCAAACATTTTTATAGGATTCTGATAGGATATGAAGTAAATTTTAAAAGCTCGATCGATCACAGCCGCACCTCGCAACTGCACCAGCACTGCGTGCACCTCCGCCATGGGTTAGGTATCAGCTACCCGGGGACTGCTTCGCTTTCGCCTCCTCCCGCTCCAAACGCTTCTCGTGACGATGACGCACGCCCCGAAGCCCGGTGTGCCGACATGTGCATGTGTTCCCTACGTTTATATACGGCTTTATCATAAAAGTAGTGTTTTTTTTATAAAAGTAAGTGAGAGCATCTCCAAGTCTACCAAAACAGCCTAATTTTGGTAAGATTAAAAAATTCATCTCGAACCACTGCTAAATCCACCTTCCAATTTTTTGGACGTCGAAAAAACACCCCATGCGTGATATATAAGCGCGCGTATCTAAAAGTAGAAGGACGTAGGGAAAAAAGCAGGACAAAATTCCTGATGCAAATGTTTAATAAGAGGTAAAAGAGTATAAAAGTGGATGATGTGATTTAAATATAGTTTGAGATTTCTTATGCAAAGTTACCGTCTATCTGGAGTGAGACTTCGAAGCCAACACGTATTGGAATCTGCTAGAGGAAGGCAGGAAGCCAACAAATATTGAAAACTGTGGGAGGAAGCCAGCAAATATGCTCTTAATTTTTTTAAGTCACTTAGAAAACTCATTAGTTTACCAAATGATTTTTTAGAAACTATTAGAGATGCTCTTGGAGCAATTTTTTAGCTACATAAGCAGTTTTACTGATAAAACTAAAGCTGTTTTAATAGAATGTTTGTTAAAACAGCTCTTTAAAGCAGGTAAGGAATAAAATGATCCTAGGGTTTGTTGTTTTATAAAAACAAACTTTCATAAAACTTGGTTTATCATAATTTGCTCCTAAAATTTTGTTTGGATCACCTAGTAAACTCACGTACAAGGAAAACCTAATTTTCACAAAAACAAAAAAAAAACATGTATTAGTAAAAATGATTGCCGAGTGTTTTTCTGAGAACGTGTATTTTCACAAAACCCTGTATTAGTAAAAACGACTCCCGAGCGTTTTCTAGAACGTGTATTGGATAATCACGATTTTCTCGTCTCCCTGCTTTTGCGGTTAGTAGATGTAAACATAACTTTTAATAAAACACATGCTAACTAACATACCTACCTAAAACTGATTTTTAATAAAAAAAACTGATCAAAGCTCATTTGACGTAATTATGTCTTTTTTCTTTTCCTTTATTTTTTGCTTTTTCTTCTCTTCTCTCTCCTTAACCATTTGGTCGTCTGTCTCGTCCCGGCGTCAGCATCGTGCACCCACTGGGCGCTGCTGCTCCCCGCGCTCGGCGCCCCATTGGCTCCATGCCCGTGCTCCCCCCTCTCGCTCTGGCGCGTCCGTCAAGCCCCCGACGCCTGCGCACCCCGTGCTCCGGCGACCTGGAGCCCCGGCCTCCATTCCTCCTGGCGTAAGCACGGCTCGTTTCGCCGCCACGCCGCGCCCAAGCGCAAGGAGGAGGGTATTTTGAGGCTGGCCCGCAAGCAAGGACGGGAGAGCCATGAGAAGCTTGTTTTTTTTTAATTCTGTTCATCGCCAGCGTCGTGTCTAACCGGGTTGTCCGCGGCTCCACGGGAGAAACCATTTTCTTTTCACCCATTTGGCGAATTGTTCCTAAAGCTTGCCAGTGCTAAAAAAATTCAGCTGCCCAGTGCTCAAGCATATTTTTGTTTATTCAAATGAAATGAGCTTGATATATGTCCTACAATAGCAAAGTGTCATGGGGAGAGAAACTAAAGCTTGCGTGATAGTACTACACTCAGCCTGTTCGCTGGTTGGTTTCTGAACTGATAAGCTCGGCTGGTGTTGGTTTGTTGTGAGAGGAAAATACTGTATCATGGCTGATAAGCCCTGGTTGAAACCAAAGCGAACAGGCTGACTAACTCTACTCCATGAGAGGCATGACTTCATCAGTGCCTTTGCCGCCCCACTTTTGCACACGGCTTGAAGCTTGCGCCGCCTGCAGTTGCCAAAACAAAGGAGATCAACATGTGCAAGTAGTCAATACCACTGCTTGCAAGAACCATGGGATGGTAAAAAAAAATTGGCCAAAAAAAAAAAAACGGGATGGAACAGAAACCAATGGAGCTAGTAGGCCGTTGTTACCTCTGCTTTCCAATCTGTCCTCCAAACCAGAACTAGCAAGATGAGCGTCTGAAGGGTGACACCACAGAGCATGCCGGACCAAATCCCCTGCGAGTATCATCATCATCATCATCATCGCAGACAAAACCAAAATGTGAGGGAATACAAATAATAATTACTTAAATCACTACAAGGATTGGCTAATTACGTGTGTTCATTCATGCAAACATAAAAGCTTCTGATTGCAAGCAAACAACATGCGGTTGATGAGAGAATTAATTACCCCGACTCCGAAGTTGAACTTGTAGCCGAGCAAGTAGCCCAGCGGCAGGCCGAAGATGTAGTAGCAGCCGAGGTTGATGTAGGCGACGAGGCCCTGCCATCCGCCCCCAACCGCGACCCCTGAAACCACGGGCTGCACGCTGTTGAGCACCATGGTGAGGCCGAGCAGGCCGGCGATCTTGGCCACGGCTCGCTGCAGCGTGGCGTCGCTGGTGAATATGATGGAGAAGCTGTCCCTGAAGATGAGGATGAGGGCCATGCACACGATCCCGATCAGCAGCGCCTCGCCGACGACCACCATGACGGCGTTCCATGCGGCCCTTGGACGGCCGGAGCCAAGCTCATTGGAGACCCGGACGCTGAAATTAGTAAATGGACAAGGAACACAGCAGAGCAGAGCAGAGCAGTGGTTGTATCAGTACCCGGTAACAGCAAGCATATATTATGCCAGTACAGAATATTTAGCTATAATATTATACAGTAGAGTATCACTGTATCAGGAAAGAACTAGATTATCTGGACTGGACCTGATAGCTGCATTGAGGCCGATGAAGATCATGCCCTCCCATCCGTTTATGTTCATGCTGAAGATATATACATATAGGAGAAAGAGCTCTATGTTTGTCAGATATATACAATAAGAGTAGTAGTTATGGTTTGTTATTAGTTGTGCCCAAAAAAAGATTAAACAAAAGAATGCAAGAAGCATTGTAATCTAATCTTTTGTTGGTATAATATACTCCGTCGTGCGTACCATATGCCTAGGGAGTCAACGGCAATCTGCGCGTCATCCAGGTCGCCGGTGAGCACGGTGATCATGCTCATGTACCATACCTCGAGGCAGAGCATGACGGCGGACTCGAGCGAGAGCCTGACGAATGCCCAGATTTCGTGGAAGGCGGCGACGGACCATCCCCTCCAGCCGTCCTTGCACCATCCCATGATGTAGGCCACCTGGCCGAGTGCCATGATCCAGTGGCCGACGTCGTAGGCCGCGGCGGCGCCGGGGAGGCCCCAGCCGAAGACGTAGACGAAGAGGTAGTTGAGGAGGACGTTGGCGAGGAGCGCCCCGAAGCCGATGTAGGCGGGCACGGTGACCTTGCTCTGCGCCTGGAGGAACTTGTTGGCGCCGAAGTTGATGGCCATGGCGTAGATGGCGGGGACGATGTAGGTGGCGAACCTGGCGGACTCGCGCGCGACGTCGGCGTCCTGGCCGAGGAGCAGGAGCAGCGGCTCGGCGAAGACGAAGAGGGGCGTCATCACGACGCTGGCGGCGATGAGGATCATCCAGGACCGCTGGAGGTAGACGCCGAGCATGGCGACCTGGCCGGCGCCGAAGGCCTGGCCGCAGAGCGTCTCGAGCGCGCTGCCCATGCCGAGGAGGAAGCCGAGCGCGAAGGTGGCGAAGACGGAGAGGCCGATGGAGGCGGCGGCCAGCGGGAGGTTGCCGAGGTGGCCGATGAACATCTGGGTGATGGAGCTGATGGCGTACATGCTCAGCATGTTCACGGCGATGGGCAGGCCAATGCCCCAGAGGCGCTTGGACTCGTCCCAGACCATGCGCGCGGCGTCTCCGCGGTGCGCACCGGCGGGGTGTCGGGCTCGTGGGAGGCCTGCCGGCCGCCGAGGAGCGGCCCCCCATCGATGGTGCTGGCGTCGCCCCGCATCGCAGCAGTCCTCCCGGCGCCGGTGCTCGCCCTCGCGCTCGCAATGGATCAAGGCTGGCCGTCTCGTCACCCGTGCATTATCTGGGGATGCTTTATATAGTTCGCTCGCTCAATCATAGCCACACCTCGCAACTGCACTGCACCTCCGCCACGGGTTAGGTGGCAACTAATGTGGACTGCTTCGCCTCCCTGGCTCTCCCTCCCGCTCCCAGTGCTCCTGACGATGACGAGTTTTTTTTTTTTTTTGCAAGATGATGACGAGTTATATATGGAGGAGGAGGAAGACGGGGGAGGAGGATCGGAGTAAATGTACTCCGTACGGAGTCAAGCGCAGCTAGTTACAGGGGACGGCCCGTTTTCAGGCTCGTATACGACGGTGAATTATAAGCTGGAACAATATTTTTCTCTCACATCAAACCAGCCAGCAGTAAATAATTCACGATCGTTTACGACGAAACGAACAGGCTGATGATCAGTTACTATTTGAGATTTAAAAATTATCTACATTAGTTATCATTGGTTAGCTGGTTGGTTAATACTGTAATTAACTAGTTGGATATACTTGTAAAAAAATAGCTCACATATTAGTCCTCTTGTTTAGATGTATTAGAACAATTTAAATTTAGCTAACTAACAATTAGCCCTTATATCGAAGGGCCCCTATGTCTTCCACTATCGTACTATTTATGTGCGAGATGGAGATGGCAAATCCATTCATGCATCGTTTTTGTTTACGGACAAATGAAATCACGGCATGCATCACCTACCGCCCTGTTTGGCAGAGCTCCCAGAGCTGATTCTCTGCTGAATCTAGTGCAGCTGCCAAACAGTTTAAAAAAGTGATTCTCTCTGAAATGAACGAAGACGCTGGAAGTTGAAAAAAAGTAGATTCTTCTGATTCTGTGAAGTGATTCTTCCTCGTGATTTTAAGAGTTTATTATATATGCTAAAGAATAAAAAGAATCACTTTCGGTTACAAAATAATCTACCGAACCATCAAATTTCCCAGCTCATGCATAACAATCAGTCCTCATAAAGAAGCAAGAAATGTGATGTGAATCTTGTTGGACTAACTCTCTGGACTACTCCATGCATTTTGAAGGCAACCATTTGAAAACAAAATTCTTAAGGCAGCATGGTTAATCCGGGTTCACTTGTCAGTGGTTGCAACTACTGTATGCATCTCTCTTTTTCTTCAGAGATAACTATCTATGCCATCAAGCATATCATAAATTGAGAATCTAGACAACTTCTTGAAAACTAAATAGCACTAAAAATAAAGTATCGGAAATTAATGCACCCATTAGTTTACTAAGATAACATATGTACCAGATTGTAAAAGAGTTGGCTTAATATATATTGAGGCCCATTTGAACAATTGTCAGAAGTTGTACGCTAGTACTAATGAACATAGAATGCTTATTTGATGTGCTGATAAATCAGTGGTTGGAGGGCAATTTACCTGCAGTCTTACCTTGTGTCGCCTAGAGCAGAACTACACAAAACAGGACAGTCACCACACTGATATGTAAATAGTAGTAACAGAAAAAGAGCAATTCAAGAATCGAGTTTTCAACTTGCATAAATTACAAAATATTTTAGTATGGGTACTCATTAATCTTTTGACCAGATGACGGGAAACTACAACAAGTTCCATGATAACAGTATTATAACACTTTAGCCGAGATGCATAATAAAGAAAATAGAAAGCTTTATAGTATACAGGTGGTTCACGTATAACACTATAGTATATCTTTCGTACCTGTAAGGTTGTAACCAGGCTGAAAAACTTGTGCAGCCACTCTTTGCCTTTCACTGGTTAGCCCCCCACCAACAAGGCTTGTAGGTCCGGAAATTCTAGATTAGTTATAGTTGGTTAGCTAGTTAGTTAATACCGTAATAAACTAGTTGAATACTTGTAAAAAAATTAGCCCACATATTAGTCGTATAGATGTATTAGAGCAATTTGAATTTAGCTAACAATTAGCCCTTATCCCTAAGGGCCCCTATGTCTCCTTTTCTAGTTTCACTGTCGTACTATTTATGTACGAGATGGAGATGGCAAATCCATGCATGTATCGTTCTCGTTTACTGACAGATGAAATCACGGCATGCGTCACCTTTGACCTCATTTGGCAGAGCTCTCGGAGCTGATTCTCTACTAAATCCAGCAGCTGCCAAACAATTTTTAAGAGAAAGAGTGATTCTTTGATGATTTTGTATAGTGATTATTTGAAATGAACGAAGTAGAAAAAAGTATATTCTCCTGATTGTATTAAATGATTCTCTATTGTGATTTTAAGAGTTTATGCTAAAGAATAAAAAAGAATCACTTTCAGTTATAAAATCACTTCTCACATAGAATCAGTTTTTATAGAAAAATCAGAATTAGATAGAGCTCTACTAAACCAGCCCTATATTTCATTTCATTCTATATGACATTACAGTCTTAGAAACAGCACCATGAAACTGACCCAATCACCGTGACACTGATGCAAAAAAGGCTACCTTTTGTTTTTCTTTCATGCAAAAGATATCTTCCTTTAGTTGAACTCATAGATGTATACAATAAATTTTCGCTAGCAGTTGGTACAATGGTGGCAGGTATGTTGTTGGCCAGGATAAGATGAGACGAGAGAAGATCCCTTAATCTGAGGAACTCTGAGTAGTGTAGAGGCAAGGCAACGAACTAAAAGGTACTGTATTATCTACATTTAGTTATCCAATTAGATTTATTATGAAAATATATTTCATAATTAATCTAATGATACTTATTACACATCATAAACACTAATATTTTTTTTATATTTAATCAAATTTAAGAATCTTTAATTTGATTTCTCAGAAAGCGAGATTTACATGACGGCAGTGGCGGAGGGAAGGGGGTCTGAGGGGGGCCTGGCACCCCCAAATCTTCCCATAACTCCCATAATACACCCCCTAAATTAAGTGCTTAATGATCTAATTAGCTAGTTAATGATGCTATTTGTACTATGATTTTTTGTTCTTACTCCATATTAATCTCTAATAGTATCTTATATAAATAAAAATGAGGTGTTCCTAATATTTTCTCCATATATTTTTTATTATTGCTTATCAAACATTAGTTTGTTCCCATAGCACACACGCTAATTTGCTAGTTAATTGAAAATCAGTGCTTTCCTTGTTAATCCTTCAGAATTGATCTCCAATTGACTATATTATTTAGCATTAGTGAACGTGGTCAATATGGTACGACCTTCCCGTTTAATCGTCTATTTAAACGACCATTTAATATTTATGATCTAGTGCTAATTAATTTTGGCTCTATTTAACTACTTGTTATTACTGTAATTATTTTTTCTGGCCAAAGAATTAGATTGATTTGGTGAAGGTTAAAGCCCTGAGGCTAATTAAATTCCCTTCATTTTTTAGTTTTTTCTGTTTTTTTTTGTATCGCAACATAAACGTTTATTTGGGTGGTATGTATATCTTTGCCATGCATACATTTTGACACGCATGGTTGTTGCCGGTTTGCACGGCACCCCCTATGCTCAATTCCTAGCTCCACCCCTGCATGACGGAGAGAGTATTTGTTGCTTGCGGGGGTAAGGATGGCAACGGATCGGGTTTGGGGCGGATATCCGCGGGTTTCGGGTTCTGCGGGTTCGGGTTTAGGGAAGGTTTTTCACCCACGGTTTTCGGGTTCGGGGCCCCGAAACCAATCGGGTTCGGTTTCGGGTTTGGTTTTCCACCCGTGGATATCCAATGGATATCCAAAATAAATCATTTGGAATTAAAACTCATATTTTATAATATACTAATAATAATTTGTTTACTTAGATTATTAAATTTATTTAAAGTTGACTCATGAAAATATTTATTATTTGTTGCCTCTTGTTTATACATGTGAATATGTGTATATATATCCGCGGGTTTCGGGTATCCATTCGGGTTTTGGGTATCCGTTCGGGTTTCGGGTATCCGCGGGTTTGGTTTTGGTGATGGATTTCCACCCGAATCGGTTTTCGGGGCGGATTCGGGTTTCGATTTCGGGTTTCGGTTTTGGGTGCACGGAGACTCCACCCGATCCGAACCCGATCCGTTGCCATCCTTATGCGGGGGTATCCTTGAAAGTGAGATTTCAAATTGACAGTAGAAGCTTTAGGCCCTGTTTGGCACGACTCCACTTCACCCATGAAGCCCTTTTTTGGGGCTTCAGCTCCATAAACAGCTCTATGGTGGAGCTGTAGCTGTTTTGATAAATCGTTTGGCAAAACAGCTTCACATATAGTTTTTCTTAAAATATGCTCTCAGAGAACGCCATATAGAATGAGGTGAAGCCGAGAGAAGCCACTATTTTTGGCTCCTTCCCACCCCAAAGCTCCGTGAGAGCACGTTTTTAGTGGCTTCATTGGTGGAGCTGTTTTATTTTACCCCGTTTGATAGAAAACGGCTCCAAGCGGCTCCTAAAGCCGCTAGAGAAGCCCTGTCAAACGAGGTCTTATTCGTCAATGCAACGTATCCAATAAAATAAAATAAAATCAATCTAAAAGGATTCCTTAGGTGTTTGTTATTAGGAAAAAAATTAGAAACCTCTACAATCTCAATGACGCCCATATGTGGCCATGAGGACCAATCGATCAGTAGATTATTTTCTTCTTTGCCGTGTGATATTTGTGTACCGTGTCTTGTGTACATCATCAAGCTTTAACACCCATGCTTAAAAGTCTCCTGCGTTCAGAATCAAACATTCAATGTGAAATTAACTCTGGCCTTATTGCCCCTGTAGACTTCGAAATTTTCAGGACTGTTCCTTATTAATACAATCAGTCGTTCTCCTGCTCAAATTCGTCTCGTGGGCCCAGAAGGCTGGCCCATGACATCGTCAAACTGCGATGAAATCATCAACAACCTGCCTGCCTTGTCATCCGCAACTCCATCCTTGCCGCCGCCTCCGCCTCCTCCAGTCCTCCTCCTGCGCTCTGCTTCACTGGTGGTAGGGACTAGGGAGTGCAGCAGATCCCGTGGCCGTGGCCTGGCCCGATCCCTTCCCTGCTCGGTAAGGAGCCCCCTGGCCCTCGCTGCTCGGACGGATCGGTTCCCCCTCTCGCGCTGGTGATTCGCAGCCACTCTGTTGTTCCGAATCCAATCCTCCCGCCGCCGCCGGCTCTCCTCGATTTCTTCCGTTTCGTTTTGATTGCTTGCTGCTGCATCGTGCAACTAACTCGTGCGTGCCTACCCTACCAGTTTAGGATTCATTCTTCGACGTTGGGGATTGGTTCGGTTGGGAATGGCGCGTCGCCTGATTAGCCCCGCAGCGGCGTGCCGAGGCTGCGGTTTCGTTAGGCCCGGGTTTCTGGCTGCCTTCTCCTCCTTCCATGTGATTCCACTGCCCCTATCTAAACTTTTCTAGTCACTGCCCTCCTGTGTCTCTAGTCTTCTTCCAGTCCTCCAGAATTTTCGATTCTAGTTACCAGGTCTAGACCAAGTTAGCATGTGTATACTAATAATATGAACTTCGATAGGCACTGCAATTATCATAGACCAGCTGTTTTTTGCATTGTACATTTCATTCATGTTAGATTATGTTGCCTGCTTTGCTGACTGGGGATTTTTCCTCCATGTATTACGCTCTTTCTTGTGCTATTACTGGTACATGCTTCTTCTGACATAAACAGATAAACTGCTTATTGTCTTGTAGTTGTCGCGACTAAGTGTTATATACTGCAAGCCACTTCCTGTAGTCAGTGATTGCCTAGTGACCTCCTTCACTTTTTGGCAGTATCCAACCTTGCCATCGTGCTCTCCGAAGAGGACTTCCTCAGTAAAGAATTGCTTTAGCAACACTTACAATTTAAGGAAAGAGGTACCATTCCTCGCTTTTTTTTTGTCGGATTCTTACTATAGTTTGTTGAATGCTGTTACCTGTTTTCAGTTATACAATCTTTTTGTGTGTAACCAGCGCTAATATATACTTCATTTTATCCTGTTGCAGGGTTCACGTTGGATACGATCCGAGCCCCCCTTGTCACTAAATGTTAGTACCTTCCTTCATGCCAACTATTTATTATCATTATCTAATATATACATTTATGCATATATGTTGTGAGCTGCTACCTGCTAGGTTAGAAAATAGCTTGGTTCTACTATGTGCTAATACGATTTTTTTTTTTGAAGTATCTCTTGTTCTTTCCACACACACAGGAGAGCTGAATTTTCTCTTTTGACTAGTAGGATGTAGTAATAACAGTGTATTTCTTTAATTTATTCAGCTCGTGGCATGCAATGTGCCTACATGGCTCTTCCATTTATATTTTCCTTAACATTTTTCATATCCATAATTCAGAGGGCAAAGTTTGTTGGCAAGAGGACATCTTGTTCTGTTGCAACAGAGCCGCCTCCTGCTGCCACTGAAGAACCAGACATGGATGCCCCCAAGGAGATATTCTTGAAAGATTACAAGGCACCTGATTATTATTTTGACACGGTAACTACATGCCTTTTCTAATTGCTTTCCCGCACAGCTTTCAGCATTTGAACGTTTGTTGTTAGAAATTCTCTAGTTGCTGTGCCCTATGTGAGGTTAGCACTAGCAGTTTGGAATCCAGTTTCTTTTTGGAATAGCTGTTGTTTTAGAAATCAACACACTGTCCAACATAAACCTTTGACAGTTACTGTTAAGAAATATGTCCAGTACAATTTACCCCTAATAGTACTTGAAACTAGTTTTGATGAAAATCTACCATTTTCCCCCCAACTCACTGATCTAGCCATGCATCCTAGACAAACATGTTCTCGAATGGGGCTAGCATGTAGATAGATGTGCACATGCATTGTAATCTACTTATCTTGATACCATTAGTCCGTGCTTGGGCTATGTTTCTTGTAAATTGACTGTTGATTCCTTGTTTTTGCCTGTTTTTTGTTTCTAATTTTTTACTGTCACCTAATTGAACTGCAGGTGGATTTGCAATTTCAACTTGGTGAAGAAAAGACCATAGTTACATCTAAAATAGTTGTATCACCTGGAGTTGAAGGTCAATATCTAACCTTGCATCTATTGTCCTGTACTTTCTTTTTATTTGGCAAAATATTATCATATGGTACCTCATCAAGGCCTCTACATCTCTCTTGCATATCTTTTTTTTCTTCTCCATTATTTTTCCATTTATATCATGAGAAGTAACTTTGGAGCTTAGATGAGTTTCTCGACTTCCTAACTAACTTTCAATTGTAATGTATTGTAGCTGGCATCTCAGCTCCACTAGTTCTTCATGGGCGTGACCTCAAGCTGTTATCAATCAAAGTCAATGGCACTGAATTAAAGGTTATAATTAGTTCACATAGCGTTTCCGTTGTGTTTAGATGTTTTAAAATTGCAGGATAACTGATTTCTTTGTCATCCTTATTACAACCAAACTGCTATAGTTTCATCATGAGTTTGAACATTGATAACCATCTCCTCGTCTTCTTTTAGATTAGATTCTGTTGGCACATATTTGTACAACAGTAGGCAGGATATATAGCATGTATTTGGGAAATATGCTGACAGGAATATCGCACGATTACCAACAAACGGTGGGAAGAAACTCGTTTTGTTCCAACTCAGAATGATTGTATAATTTATAATTCTTTCCAAGGGGAAAAAAGGTAATCAGATGGAGGCTTGCACTTGAATTGCACTGGACAGCTAACAGGGGGCTCATATGTTTGAAAAATTTGAAGGGATTGTGATGAAATGACAGAGGCATTTCCAGAGAAATAGTTGTTGTATATAGTAACATTCGGCAATAGCCATAGTGGTCTCTTGTGGTTTGTGACATTAGATTACTTGCTCCATCCTATCATGTTTTCCTGTCGCACTATTGATATCGGCAGTGAGTTAGTGGGATACTGTATATTTCACTAGATTTCTATCCTTCAAATATTTCTTAGTATGATAGGGATTGCCTAATACACAACACAGTTATCAGAAACCCTGCTGCAGTTAATATGTATTATTTTCTTTGAAAAAGTTTTGCCTAAAAAACATACATTTTATTCTCCTATTTTTTTCCTCACCTGCCTGTATCTACTTGATAATTAGGGTGAAGAGTATAAAGTCAATTCTCGCCATCTGACACTTTCAACACCACCTGCTGGCGTATTCAACTTGGAAATTGTTACAGAAATATATCCTCAGCTAAACACATCATTGGAGGTACTGACTGCTTTTAGAGGGATACAGTCCTACTAGCTAATCCATTAGATATAATGTAGGCAACAGCTAGGGTATCTTTTACTCTAATTTCTTGTACATTCACAGGGGCTGTACAAGTCTACTGGTAACTTCTGCACTCAGTGTGAAGCAGAAGGGTTTCGGAAGATTACCTTCTTTCAGGTAGGTCTTACTTTCAGTAAAATTACTATATAGAGTGGTGTTAAGGTTTACCTACTGTTTATTAACATCAGATATCGTATATTGATTCCATGTTTGCTTGTGGTTTGATATATGAGGCATCAAATATCATGTTGTCTCTATAAATATGTTCTTTTACGAGGTTTTGATATTTGATTTATACATGCTCTGTATGTGGAAATGTTGAATGTTATCACAGGATCGCCCGGATGTTATGGCAAAATATACTTGCCGTATTGAAGCTGATAAAACTTTGTATCCGGTATTATTGTCCAATGGGAATCTTATTGAGCAGGGAGACCTTGAGGTACGCTAGCTTCCTAAGTCCTAATGCAATCATCACTCAGCAGAGCTAAGGGACAATCACTGTATGCCATTTTTCTTTTTTGCACTGTAGGGTGGAAAGCATTATGCACTGTGGGAGGATCCCTTCAAGAAACCAAGCTACCTGTTTGCTCTAGTTGCTGGTCAACTGGGATGCCGGGAGGATTCGTTTGTTACATGCTCCGGCCGCAACGTAACACTAAAAATTTGGACTCCTGCCCAAGATTTACCAAAAACAGCACATGCTATGTATTCTCTCAAAGCAGCAATGAAGTGGGATGAGGAGGTTGCTCCTGATTCATTGCCTATAACTTCCTGGAGTTTCTTTAGTTCAAATCAGATAGCTGATTCAGTTCTTCATGCCACCTGCCAGGTCTTTGGTCTGGAGTATGATCTTGATTTATTCAACATTGTTGTTGTCCCTGATTTCAATATGTAAGTTCTTTTCCTATTTTTATCACCATGCTGCAGTATATTTTGGGAATGCTTTTTTTTTTCTTTCCTCTAGGGTTGTGGGTTTAACTTGTGGAACTTGATACTTTGGTTAAATGTTAACAAGCCAATTGCCCAGTTGTACAATATAGCATGACCCAAACTGTCTGTTGATAAAGGTAACTCTGTTAATTGCAGGGGAGCAATGGAAAACAAGAGCTTGAATGTAAGATTCCGTCTTTCCTTGGAAAATTTCGCACATTAATTTGTTTTTTAACACTGGTTTATGAATGAACAGATATTTCAATCTAGACTTGTATTGGCATCACCAGAGACTGCCACTGATGGTGATTATGCTGCAATTTTGGGTGTTGTTGGTCATGAGGTACACAAATTTGTAGATATATCCGCTCTTTCTTTTTTTAGTGAATTCAATTATACTTACAGCTCGTTGCTTTTCCAGTATTTCCACAACTGGACTGGGAATAGGTAACTGTCTTAACGATATCACAATAGTGGATTATCTTTTTATTTGCAATGATGGTATCGTAACTTGTATTTAATACCTTTATGACTGTTTAAGTGATTAATAATTGTTCTCTTTTCACTTCTTTTTCTCTCTCTCTTTTCTCATTAATTGGTGCTTTTCCTGATGAGATTAAAGCCATGCCAAGCGATAGCTTGGGATGGCTAAATGGGAATGATCTTTTTTTTTTTCCTAACAAAAGGAATGACTTCCTTATCTCTATGCTGTTGCAGAGTAACTTGCCGTGATTGGTTCCAGCTAACCCTGAAAGAAGGACTGACCGTTTTCAGGGATCAGGTATACTCAGGCAGTCGGCCATGTGTTAGCTGCTGCAAGTTTGTTTGTTCATCTTACTCTTCTAATTAAATTATTTGTGTAGGAGTTCTCTTCGGATCTTGGCTGTCGCACAGTAAAACGAATTGCTGATGTCTCCAAACTCAGAATCTATCAATTCCCACAGGTTTTCTTGATCTAGTCTATCACCGTATTCTTGTTAGATTGTTGCTGAATGAAGTAAACTGCAGCATGCGGCAGCTTGATTTTATTTTGACCAACCTGTGTCTTCTTTCCTTATATCCAGGACGCTGGGCCTATGGCACATCCTATCCGCCCCCATTCCTATATCAAGGTGCTAATGCTCAATTGTTCTGCGATTTGAATTCATTTACTCTATGTTGCTTTGAACCAGAAATAAAGATACAGTTTGTAACTTTTTAAATTTCACTGGCAGATGGACAACTTCTATACTGGTGAGTTTTGTTGTCTCTAAAATTGACTGCATACAGTGAGATGCACAAAACATCAACTGATTTATTATCCATCCCCTGTTGAACCATTGAAACCTTATCTGATGAATCTACCCCTGGTGACTTTGATTATGAATAACTTGGCAGTGACGGTACGCATTTTTCATCCTGTCCCCTATTAAACAAACATTGTGAGAGTTAATGATTAAAGCTGACATTATTTTTTGTTGTTTTCTTTGTTCCTTCATCCAACCATTATGGGATTCATCTCAGGTTTACGAGAAGGTTCGTTTATGTAACTTTTTTCAATTTCCATGCATTGATAGAAAATGGCAATGAGATGTGACCTGGACATGTACTTGTTATAGGGTGCTGAAGTTGTCAGAATGTACAAGACCATGTTTGGAGCATCAGGGTTTCGAAAGGTAAAATTCAAGCTTCGACCTAAAATGCGAGGGTACAAGTGTTGTTATGAACCGTAGTTCATTTGGGAATAACCATTGCCAGGAAGATAGCCGGGCAAAGTTGGCCTGGAGGGAGACTAGAGTATTTTTTTCTTTTCTTTTGGGGGAGGGGATTAGATTAATTATTCTTCATTGCTCCTTGCTTCATACATCACCTCCCTTTATATAGAGGGTATTCCTCGACTCCCAAGTAAAGCCCAATCAAATCCGAACAAATCATATCCAATTCCAATCCTATCTCTAATTGACCTAAATCTAATATTACATCTAACTGATCCAGTCCCTATAGCTGATCCTATTCCTATGGGCTCCTGCCTCCCCAGTGGACACCCCATAACAAGTGTACAATGTCATCTCCATTTAAACTTTAGCATGATCTCTAATACACATCCATGACCATTACTTTTCTAACTGTATATATGTCAGCAAAAAACATAAACAAATGAAATTACTTTTCAGGTAAATCTGCATTTACCTATTTATACGCTACAAGCTAGCTAACTTTTATCCATATCAGTGATCATAATTTCAAGAATTTCCTTCAAGAATTTCTTTGTGCATCATAATTCTACAATAAGTTGATGTTTCTTAAATGTATAAGAAAAATTCGCGACATTACCTTGTACCGTGAATCCTGTGCATGTAATGTTTCCCATGGGATGTCTCTTTTTTTTTTTTTTGAACTGAAGCTGTGGGCAACCCCCCCGTGTGTCTGGTACAATGTTGTACACATATCTTTTACTTTCCACGTTTTCCTCTGCAGGGCATGGATCTTTATTTCCAAAGGCATGATGGGCAAGCTGTCACTTGTGAAGACTTCTATGCAGCCATGTGTGATGCAAATAATGCACAACTGCCAAACTTTTTACAATGGTAGTAGACACTTATCTTCCAATCATGCTTTTTAAGGGTTACTTGTTGTGATCAGTATCTAATTGTAAACCATCCAATAGGTACTCTCAAGCAGGTACGCCTATAGTCAAGGTGGCATCTTCATATGATCCTAGTTCTCAGACATTCTCTTTGAAATTTAGGTAAGCTTCCACATTCTCTGGGTTCGAAGTACTTATTGACCTTTAGTACTTACGATTAGAAATATGTTGAACTGTCATTCCAACTTTCTACTTACATTCATTTTCATTGATGCTAGTGCACATGGGTTTTACATACCCTGATAATGTTTCTTCCTATATTGTAGTGATTCGTGAAAATAGTACATTTCTAAACCATCTGACTTTTCTATTTTCTCAGCCAAGAAGTACCACCCACTCCTGGCCAACCAGTTAAGGAGCCTATGTTCATACCTGCTGCTATTGGACTTGTTGACTCTACTGGAAAAGATGTGCCCCTCACTTCCGTTTACAGTGATGGAACTCTCCAAACACTCTCTGCTGATGGCCAGCCAGTCTTCACAACTGTGCTTCAGTTTAAAAAGGTTAAAACAACCGTGATTATCTTCCTTCAAGCTTTCCCCTCAAGAAATGAACTTAATTAGCATGGTTTGATTTGTGAATCTTTTGCATATTGTGCAGATAGGCTGGTATTTGTTCATTCAGTGCTACACTGTTGATACTCTACTACAATTGCGACTTTTTTTATTTTTTGTATTTACATTCATTCAGAAGCCCTTTGTAGGACCTCAAATTATGTGCAATAAGATTTTTAGTCAGTAAGCCTGTGGTTGCCTGTACATAGGCACCTAGTTGTAGTTTTCTAGTTGTATCAAATTTAAGTGTCTCGACATTTTTTTTCTGATACTTGAATGTGCTTTTATATTATTCAGAAGGAAGAAGAGTTTATATTTAAAAACATTCCCGAGAGGCCAGTTCCTTCTTTGTTGAGGGGATATAGTGCTCCTGTCCGTCTAGATTCCGATCTGAGTGAGAGTGACCTATTTTTCTTGCTTGCCAATGACTCAGATGAATTTAACAGGTATTCTGGATCACAATGCTAAAGATATTTTCGTTTTCTATTAAAGAGTTCAATCTAATGATCTGTCTATTCCCTAGATGGGAAGCTGGCCAAGTTTTGGCACGTAAGCTGATGCTCAGTCTCGTAGCTGACTTCCAGCAACAGAAAACACTGGTCCTAAATCCAAAATTTGTTGATGGGATTAGATCAATTCTGCGCAACACAAGCTTGGATAAGGTAAAATTATTTGCGGCTATTGTAATCTATAGGATACACTTCAATTATAAAATGGCTATTGTAATCTGTTACAGGAATTTATTGCGAAAGCAATAACTTTGCCTGGTCAAGGGGAGATTATGGATATGATGGAAGTTGCAGATCCTGATGCAGTTCATGCTGTCCGTAACTTTATTAAGAAGGAGCTTGCCTTGCAACTTAAAGATGATCTTCTTGCAGCTGTAAGTGGCACCGGCCAAGTTGCTACTTTCTCTGTACCAAAAAACTTGGTTGGCATTCTAGTTTTGTTCCAAGTCAAACTATCTTAAGTTTGCCAACTTTATAAAAGAATGTACCGATATTTATATTACCAAATAAGTACTATTAGATCCATCATGAAACATATTTTTCATAGTATATCTATTTGGTGTCATTAATATTGACAGTCTTCTCTATAAACTTGGTCAAACTTAAAGTAGTTTAGACTTAGCACAAATCTGGAAGACATGTTATTTGGGATGGACGTAGTATTTGTTTGTGTTATTCTTGTTCTCCCATGTATCAGCTTTTCATTTAAACTTTTTGTTAGGTGAAAAGCAACAGGAGTTCTGAGGCTTACACATTTGACCATGATAGTATGGCTCGCCGTGCATTGAAAAATACATGCCTTGGTATGTTTTTCTTTGGCAAACTTATTGCGCTCCAACTGAGGAATCACGATCGAGAGAACATCACCTAATTCAAGTTTTCTGATATTCCTTGTAGCATACCTTGCCTCATTGAATGAGCCAGATTTCACTGAGCTTGCACTGCATGAGTACAAGTCTGCGACTAACATGACAGAACAGTTTGCTGCATTAGCAGCATTATCCCAAAATCCAGGCCAAGTTCGTGATGATGCCCTCTTGGATTTCTATAACAAGTGGCAGGATGACTACTTGGTAAGATACATGACTGTTTATATTATATCTGTTATTGATAAATGTTTTTATGAACTAATGTAGCACACAGGTTCTTTGAAAAAAAAATGTAGCACACAAATTAAGTCGGGGTACCTGTTGTTTGTTTGTTTTGCTCTGATAGGTTGTAAGCAAGTGGTTTGCTCTTCAAGCTACTTCAGAGATTCCTGGAAATGTTGCAAATGTTCAGAAGTTGCTGTCTCACCCTGCTTTCGACATGAGGAATCCCAACAAGGTTGGTGGTGCCATCAGCTTAAATTTTTCATGTGGACTTTGAGCACCTGAGTACCTTACTAAGATATTTTTTTTTACTCAGGTGTACTCGCTAATTGGAGGATTCTGTGGATCACCTGTGAACTTCCATGCGAAAGATGGTTCTGGGTACAAGTTCTTGGGTGAAATTGTTTTGCAGCTTGACAAGATAAACCCTCAGGTTAATGTCAAGTACCTGTTCTCCTGTAAGCTGGACCACGCTCAAATGTTTGAAGAATTGTTAGCTAATGTGGTTTGTTCGTGGGTGTGAAATCAGGTGGCCTCCCGCATGGTTTCAGCATTTTCTCGGTGGAGGCGATATGACAAGACCAGACAAGATCTTGCCAAGGTGACGTACTGTATTTGTGTGCAGTCTATGTAGAGTCCAATTGATAGGGTAGTGGTATTTTTCACAAAAAAAAAAAAAGATAGGGCAATGGTAGTAACACCTTGCTTCATTTGTGGCGCAGGCCCAGCTGGAGATGATCGTGTCAGCCAATGGACTCTCCGAAAACGTGTACGAGATTGCTTCAAAAAGCTTGGCGGATTAGTTTGGGCAGTTCCAGGGTAGTGCGAGTGGGAGTGCTTAACTGAAAATCTCTTTTGTTGGCGAAATGACAAGTAGAGTAAATAAACAGGCGTGCTGAAGTTGCATGAATGAACTGAACAAATATAGTGTGATGACTGATGATGTCCGCTTCGTGGGGGTTTGGAGCATGCGTGCGCTCGTCTGTTGGAATGCAACTGCTCGTTTTTACCTCCTACGCTCAGCGGCCGCTGTGGGGCAGAAAACCACCTGTTCACTGATGCTAAAATTTGGCTTATGCTGATGCTTATACTGAAATGTTACGAGAGAAAAACACAATTTCATAACTGAAAAGTAGTTTTGAATAAGCTTAAGCTAACAGGGAAACGTCTGCAGCACGACGGTTTCTGTCTCGAACTCACTGTTATGTTAGCGATCGGTCTTGTGGAGCCCTGGACCCTCAACCCTTTGCTTTGCTGGCAGCTCTGGAAGGTCTGGAGCTCTCCAGCCGTGCCCAGGCTCTTATAGGTTCTAGCACACTCCAGCAGGTTTCAATGAGTGGTTTTGGCTGATTAGTTACCACCGTATTTTGTTTGGTTTGCTAATCTTAAGAAAACAAAGATTTAATTATTAGTAGATTTTAGGCCTGTCTGGATACTTCCGGTTTGTGGAAGCTAGCTTCCAGATTCTACCAAGGGATCCAAACCGCTCTAACTTGTAAGCAGCTTATATAATCTGCACACCTCTAGATTCTACAATCTAGCAAGTTGGGGACATCTAGCTTCTATCAGCTTCTGGATTGAACTTGACCAATCTGGCCCTCACTTTTTGACCCACTCATTCCAGCTATCTTTTAGAAGTAAAGAACATTTGGGTAATGTTACACTGTACAGTACTATATAAGCCAACTTTTAGAAGTTATGAATCCTAACAACCTCTCATTTCAGCTTTTATAATCCAGCTTACAGGAATTGACTTTTAGAAGCTAACTTCTGCGATCCAGATCAAACACAGCCTTTATTATTCATCTGTACTGTAGATGTAGATGCACAGAGCCAGGCATGTGTGTTGTTTGGTATCGGCGGATCGGAGCAACAGAGCAAGCAAGCCGAAAGCGATTGGACTCTGGTGGTGGGATAGGAATAGAAATAGGATGGGATGGGACGGGACGGAAACGAAAGTTTTCGTGAGTCGTGATGGTGCGCATGGGACCAATGAGTGGACGCGACCGGAAGAGATGACAGGACCGGGCTAAAAGCTCTTTTGAGCTGCGCGTCGAAACCGTGTGTGAGCGTGTGGGTGTGGTGCCCGCCACCGCCATTCCACAACCACAAGGCATATTTGATCTCTCGGCGGTGGAAGCATCAAGCATGCACGCTACTCCTGCCTATAGCATCGTCCAATCGCAGGCTAGATTTGGAGGAGTATTTGACGAAGAGATTGATTGTCCAATACATGCATTCCGGCAACCCAATAACCAAGCAGAATGCCATCCAAGGAGTGGATGGAGTAAACAAAGTACAGTCATTTTTTATTGGAGAGTTAATAAAACTTAACCACTAAGAAAATACTCCTATTGATAGGGAGGAGAGGACAGAGAGAAGAAACAGACGTACGCCCACGCAGCCATCCGTTCAAACGCAACGGCTCAAGGAAGAAGAAACCGATGAGCAGCCACGCAGCCTTTTCTTTACTCCATTTATTTTAGCACACAAAACCATACAGTAGGTCGCAGCCGTCCTGCCCTCCATCCATCCCAAGGCCAGCCGCCACCTCCCCAACTGACAGGCGAGCCCCACCCCCTCAACCTCCGCCCACTATTTATACCCTCCCCTCCCATCGGCATCTTCCCACTCGCTCATCAGCGATCCTTCTCGAGCGTCCCGGCCGTCCCATCCCATCCAACCCATCCCCGCCCCCGCAGGCAGGCAAAGCAAAGCAGCCGCCATGGGCTCCCGCTATGAGGCGGAGGTGACGGTGGGGTCGGCGAGCGGTCTGAAGAACGTCAACTGGCGCAACGGCGACCTGAGGCCGTACGCCGTGCTGTGGGTGGACGACGGGCCCAAGTGCTCCACCCGCGTGGACCCCGACAACGGAGAGGACCCCGTGTGGGACGAGAAGGTCGTGGTCCCGGTGCCACCCGCCTCCGCTGCGCGCCTCGGCGACGCCGTCCTCCACGTCGACGTCGTCCACGCCGCCAGCGGCGGCGACGACGCCGAGGCCGTCGTCAAGCCGCTGGTGGGCTCCGCGCGCCTCCCGCTCCGCGACGTCCTCGACGACGCCGGCGGCGTCGTCGGCGGGCCCAAGGTCTCCCGCACCCTCAGGCTGAAGCGGCCCTCGGGCCGGCCGCAGGGCCGCCTCGAGGTCCGCGTCGCCGTCCGCGAGGCCCCGCCCCCGCGCTACTACGACCCGAGCCCGTACCCGGCGCCCGCGTACGGGAACCCCGCCGGGGCAGCCTCGCGCGACCCCTACTACGCGGCGCCGCCGGCGTACGGCGGACAGCCACCGTACGCCGCGCCGCCCGCTGGGTACCCGGCCGCCGCCGCCGCTCCTCCCTACGGTGGTGGTTATGGTTACGGAGCCGCCGCCGCTCCTGCTCCTGCGGCGGCGTACGGGGATCCTGCGGCTGCTCCGCCTGCCCAGAAGAGCAGCAAGATGGGGATGGGGACGGGGTTGGCCGTGGGCGCCGCGGCGGGACTGCTGGGTGGCCTGGCGCTGGCGGAAGGGGCGAGCTACCTGGAGGACAAGTTCGAGGATCGCGTCGCCGAGAGGGTGGAGGAGGAGACGTTCGGCGACGGAGACTACGACGACGATTACTAGAAGCAAGCAACGAGACATGCACACGGGTGCGAACTGCGAAGTATCAAACGCAAAAAATCGAGTAGCTCAAATCAAATGCATTCAAATAAGTGAGATAACCCCAGTGGAAAACAAAACATCAAAACTTGAACCATGGCTCTGTTGATCCCCAACCCTACCATTCGATTGAGTACACTTATACCGCACAAAAGAATTTATGTATAAAACCTTTGATCTCATCTAACCAATAAGTAAAAGTTGTGAAATAAGATTGGAATGAGTACTATGCATGAACCTAATTTGAGTAACATGCAGACAAAGAACATATTTAAGGTTTGTTGCTGCCTGCCTAATGAGAACATCAAGACACATATGCCAGCCTGTTGGATAAATACACTAAATACATCATGAAATGCAAAAACAATAATGCTCGCATAAGATTCCCTGTTTTCAGTTTTCTTGCAAATAAGTCCAACATCAACATATTTTGTACAATCATAAGTGTTTTCTTTAGAATGAAATCGGTCCATTTCATCTGTCAAAAGTGAGGATACTATTCTCTCTCTTCTATCTAGTGTTTTCACATTCGTCATCACAATACTTTAAAATGTAACTAACATATGTCAACCTATGTACGTCCTCCCTTTGACTAGAACTAGCAAAAGATTATTTTGGCAATGGTTTGGGATGATAAAAAGTACCATCTTGTAAAATGGAATATTATAACCAAGCCCAAAAATAAAGAGGGGCGGGGTTCATGACCTGAGTAAAATGAACATAAGTCTATTATGTAAGTGGCGGTGGAAACTGAAAAATTAAGACGGGATTTGACAGGAAATTGTGAGAAAGAAATACATGAAAGGTAAATGTTTGACCTAAACTACCCATAAAAGCATATAATTGCCTTGTGTGGAATGACCTAATCTAAATCAAGCATACCTATTTGACAGGAAGGTCCATGAGTGTGGGGACTGGTATTGCTTGCTCTTCTTCTTATATGACATTGCAGAGCTCCTGCTAATTCTTCAAAGAGAGAGAGAGAGAGAGAAGCTGAAGAAGCGACAGGCTGCTGGAGCGATCCACTCACCATCCTCTCGCTACCGATGGAATCATCGGTGATGGCGTGATGCAATGCAATTGCAAGCAACTGCATATATACAGACTTTATCTGAACAGCTAGCACAACCATGCATGCGCTACTTTTGATTTGCTTCCAGAATTTCAGCTGTGGTCTTATAGTGTTGATTTTGATTTGCTTCCAGAATTTCAGCCGTGGTCTTATAGCGTTGATTTTGATTTGCTTCCAGAATTTCAGCTGTGGTTTTATAGTGTTGACCAAGATCGACTGTGAGGCTCATTTCAACTTCATAAAAAAAAATCCAAACTTTTGTGATTCAACCACGTACACAATTCAACAACATTTCAAATCCATAATTCAGAATTATAATTTAGAACACAAACACAATACAGGCTCATATGCACCAAATATAATTCCACATGATATGAGAAAACATAGATAGCTTTATTGCCCATGGTTTTACCACATATGCTCAACAAGTCATCATGAAGTTGTTCATGTGCCTCACGGGCAAGGTGTTCAAACAGCAAAAACCAGTACCCCACTTTCAGACAATGGAAACCTATTCCACAAGGCTACAGTGGTTGGGTATGATGCACCAGATTGTGGGAGCAAAAGAAATTTCCCCAGTTTCTGCGCTTATTTTCTCCTGATCTTAACCTTCAGAGTCCATTGGAGCTTACCTTCTGGGCGCGGTATGTCCTGTGGTAACCGGAGGGGCAACTCAAATTCACCAAGCGACGCTAAAGGTGACTGCAGGTGCAGATTCTCCGGATGGATGGTGATGTTGAGTTGCCTTGCCACCTAGAGGTGAAGTAGACAAGTCAGGGGAAAACTGAAATTTAGGGGTGCTACATGGGGTATTTAGAGCTTCAAAGGTACCTCGGAAACAATTTCATCTTTTGTTACAGGAGTACGCAGCTCATTTCCAGTTGAGATGAACCTCCTCAACACCTACCAATATCAGAGATGATCAATACTTCCATGGCTGAACTTTATCAATAAATGAAACATGCAAATACACACTATACAAAAACATGAAAACAAATAGTGCAGTAAACTTTTCACTTTTAGTGGTAGCAGACTAACCAAGAGTGCATTATCTAACCGCTTTGCTGCTGCTTGGTACTGCTTCAGTCTTTCTTCCTGTAGCTGTTGAAATGGTAATTGACAAGTAAATCAGTACCATCAGAAAAGAAGAAGAGGAAGTATAGGGCAGGGGAAAGCACACAATATCAGCCTTCAAGCAGAACCGGAAATTTTTAGATCTAAACTTATCCAGAATTTGATCTTACAGTTAAGAAAACGTTGATTATAGTAAGCAAAGGGGCTTTTATATAACACAGAAGTAAGCACATTGCATTTTTAAAAGCCAGAAAGAAGCTGTTGAACTTATATTAGGCAGCAGAAGAACAGTGGTGGCTATATTTTTCTAAAACAATAAATAAATTATGCAGCATGATAAAAACAGAGACTAGCAGGTATAGAGACAAGAGTAAATTTCCATGTCAACCGTTCAGTCTTTTACATATCAGATGAGTTAGAGAAGAATGAAAACAAATTGAGCCTAAGATCATAGCCATTCTTCTCAATACAGAAGACAACTCCAAAAATATTACTTTCAGAAAACAGAAACCCGCAAATTTTCATGTTTTTTTTTATTAAAAAAGGGCACATTTCTCTGCTGACTTCTCTAATGAAGACCTGTGAGAGCCCAGTATCTTAATGCAGTAGACAGCATGAAAACAAACTTAGACTAAAACAGAAAAAATCGACTTGAGGTATGTTAACTGCCTAACTGGTAACTGGTCTTGGACAGAAATGAACAGTTGATGCAATCAAGTTTTCTACTATGGACTTTCATCAATAAAGCAGGTCAATATTTCTAACTTGTGAGCTGTACAACCTACCGGGCATCATCATCTTCCTTTGTGACTTGTTTCACCACGACCTCCTCTTCATGTTGATAGAGCTGATTAAAAAAATAACGCCTTGTGAGGTTGCAGATGAAAGGGGCTTTAAGTAGCAAACTTGGGTAGGAACTAGGAATGGAGTAGAGGCACCAGTGCACCACAATACTTTCAATGTGTTCAATACGGATTGTACCAAGTATCACCAAATTATTAGGCTACTTATCAGATTGCCATAGGAAACAGCTGTGTTAGGGAATGTTGCATGAACAGTCTGTGCATAGTTCAATGTGCAATACATATTCGGGCAGCGATACATTTTTTTTTCCCTGGTCAAACACTGAACCTCATGGTTTGCAGCAACTACCCACACTAACAGACATGCTTATGGTAACATTTTAAAGGACTAATAAGGAACAGAGCTTACCTTGCGCTGCTCTCGGACGAGTATGGCGAATTTGTCCAGGTTCGGGACAGCAAGCATCTTGGGCATGAGGTGGTTGCGGAAGTGGCCAGGCGCCACCTTGACCACATCTCCTGTTTTCCCCAGCTTATCAATCGTCTGCAGGATAAAACATGAAGGAATGAAAGACAGAAAATAATTTATTTCCCCAGACATTTAATCATGTATCACAAGAGGAATCAGGAATTAACAATGGGGTCATATTTTCTCATTGTAAAGCGTTGATCAAATAAACGCACAGTTCTAAAAAAACAAATTACGAAATGGCCCAAAAACAAACTAAGATTTTTCTTTTGTAGTGAGTTGCAACCATCCCAGTAAAGCACAACTGAAACTAGATCAGAAAATCTAGCTACAATCGAACCAAAGCGACCGCTTGGCTAACACACCGTAGTATCTTCTTAATATGAATCAGCAAGAGGAACCTCGGGAGGGTACAATATCCACGTCGCCCATTAACCCATAAACCGTTGGATCCAGCAAGCATGTGACATCGCCGTTCGATCGGGGTTTGGCGCGGGTATCGCCCTTTAAGCCGGTAACCCAAGCAGACGAGAATCCTCGCGAAGCTACTGGTTCCTTCGCCTCCCCACTGCCATAACCCTCCACCCTTCGCCTACTGTGCCTGCCTGAGACGTGCCGACGCTCACTGCCCTTCGTTGTCCGGCTGCCGCAGGCAGCCTCGTCCATCCGACTCCAAATTCCATCCTCGTGCTGCGGCCTCTTTCCCCACCACGCGCAGCCTCCACTACTGTGGATGTGCACGGCTGAGGGGACCCGTAGCACAGGGCCAGCGCGTGGCAGAGGCACTAATGCGCTACTGCTCTCTGTCTCTTGATTACTGTACTTAGGTGCTGTTTGGTGGTACCGTGGTACGATTGATAACGCAAACGTAATGGAATTAAAGCTGTCACTGTTACGGCAGCATATAGGATGTGATCTGATTTCATTTCCATTTGCGTTACATTTCTACTAACCAAACAGCACGTTGACCTGATACTTTCATTTGGTTACAAACAGCAAGTGATGCCTCGTCTTAAGATTTATTTATCAAGATTTAACTTGACAAAGTAATTCGAGTCACGGTCTCCTCGCATTGCACAGGCGAGGGTAAGGCTTGCCACTGACACCTTCCCCAGACCCCGCACAGAGCGGGAGCTCTCTGCACTGGGTACGCCTTTTTTTTAACTTGATAAAGTAAGGAGTGTGGACCACTTACCTAGCATTTGCTCTTTCAATAATGAACTTATGAATATTAGTTATTCGATCTCTGTATTCTCATTCTGATATTGAGTTCATGTCATGTTCATGCATATATGATATAACTGTATACTGAACTCTATATTTCTGTACCTTGTATTGGCTCTAGTATTTCTTTATAGATTATATTGTGTGTGTTTTTAAATTTGTACTAGGCTAGAATTTTAACAGATTGTTTTCTTTAAAGCATGATACAAACAGAGGTTCTCTTCCATTGTTCAAAGAGAGAAATAAAGAAGCAGAAGGAAAATATCATGCTTATATATCCATATAGATTTATTTTTTGAGCAATGTGCATCTTATAACCTTATTACATAAATCAAACAAATGCCTATTGACTCATACCAACCAATCCAAGTGAATATAGCCTAGAGCGTTTATACACAAAGCATGGCTTATGCAATAAATCAGATACTCCGTATTTCTGCAGTTATTTCTCAGTATCTGCACAACAAGATTTCTACACGCTGATTAAATGGAGTGGTATGCAGCATTGATATTAGAATATACGGGAGATGGAAATCAACTTCTCTAAGTAGCACCGTATAGGCCATGGGTCAAAATGGAAAGAAGAAAACACTGGCTACCTAATTGGTCTACCTCCTCTGCGTAGCGCGCGGCTTAGTTAATAAACCAAAAAACAGAGGTGTTGCAGGCGGAATGATCTGAAGGTATAGATGAAGGCCTTACCGTAGTGAGGATGACCTCGAGCTTGCGGTAGCGCAGGCCATGGCCGGAGAAGAGAAAGGGGTTGGCGGCGAGGCTCTGGCGCTGAAGGCGGAGGGCGGCGCGGGCGGCGGCCATGGCGACGGCGTGCTGAAGGACACTAGGGTTCGCTCCTCTGTGGACTGTGGGGAGTAGTTCGGCCTGCAGGGCCCAACAAGTCGCTCAGGAGTCGGGGCCTCTTTTGCTGGCCATGCAGATACATGGGCCGACAGCCTCAAGTCGCTGGGCGGTGGGCGCACGCAGGATTTTTTTTTTCATTTGCCAAATAAATGCCTCCGACAAAAGACAATGCAAACATATACTCTGCAGCCGTATATTATATTATTATACTCATACAAAAGAATGCAAATGTTTTTATCCACGCCCACGTTAACCTGATACTATAATTACTAGATATACCGGTGCGTTGCACCAGGGCCACAAGTTTTTATCCACGCCAACACTAACAAATTTGCAAAAAAGTAATAAAATACTAATAAATGATTTTATGTTAGGAACCCTAAACTATTTCCAAATTCATTGAGACATTTTTTCACTTTAATTACATCATCTTGGATTGAACCCTCAGGACGTGGACGCGTAAGCTCTGAGGATTTCGTACCGGACAAGGACACGTGAAAGCGGTTTTTCGTATCTAAACCGGGTAGCACACGGACACGTGAGCTCCAAGTTTTTTTAACGCGAGGAACCTTCCCCATTCCCAATGATATTTCAACAGAAATACAGAGTTTGAAGATTGTATCGAGAAGACAGAAAAGCTAGAGTGATCAGAAGATCATTACAAGATAACTACCGCCAAGGTTACCTAGCTGTTGATGATAGCTAACATTCATCATAAACCATAAATATAACTTATATAAATGGCTAAAATGGATCACCAATGTAGAACTAGGGGTTTAAACTGATAAATTCCATGAGTTTTGGTGAATTTGTGTTTCCAGCAGGATTTAATCAGAAAACCGTCAAGGAGGACCTATTCCTCAAAGGAAATTACAGAATCCCGTCGCGTAATCGAAGTGGGAAGACTCTAGGAGACTCTCCACCGAAACAGGACACATGTCACTGACATGTGGGGCCGGCCGGCCCGACCTATTTGCCCCCCATGTCAGCCTCCTGTTGCTATGTCGGTTCTCCACCGCCTTAAGGATTACATCTCCGCCGTTTATTCAAGTCGGTTTGATTCGAGGGCTCAGGATTGACGCTCCGGCCTATATACAACCTGTACCCCTAGGGCAGAGGCCTCATTTGATCCTAAGAGCTGAGAAGCCAGAAACCCTAATTCATATATTCACCAGGATCAGAGCTAGCAATCAAGAGAAGATTAGTCCTCAATAGGATCTACTCTTGTATTAGATATAGTGAGATAGAGTGAGAGGGAAGAGTTTGGAGAAGTCCTGGCCTGTCGATGCTCTCTCTACGGCTTGTACTATGTCGGAATCAAGTTCTTCTTGAGCTTGCTTCTTAGATTTCTCTGGCAATCGACTTCTAATTCAAATAAGCATCTTGTTCATATTGTTCTTCAGGTTTGCAACTCTCTTTTGAGTACTTTAATCCTTGTATCTCCTGGGTTAAAGTAGTATTCGTAGTGTAAACGTGGTGCTTAGACTCGGTTACTCGTGGATGTACCATATTTTCTGGATCAGTGGTAGCTTGCGAGGCTAACTCTTATAGCCTTGTTGAATCATCTGCAGTCCACCTCCCGTTAGTAGGCCTAGTAGGACTTTGTTGCTATAGAAAACATACTCACTTTTTTTGTTTTGTCTAGTAATATCGTCAGAATTGAACTATAGAAGACAAAGCTTACCAAAGTTAGAACTAGAAGACCTTAGCAGTCTCCTCTACGCTCCTATTATCTAGCCTTAATTGTGAAGTTGGGATAAGATAGATTTGGTTATTCTCACACGCGTTCCTCGAGTTCGATATAAAACAAGGTTCTCCCGGTAAAGTGCTACATCGGTATAATATCTGTGTGCTTGCGGATTATTCTGTATGCATATAATTTATACCAACAAGCATTTTTGGCACCGTTGCCGGAGAAACAGTTGCTGAGTTAACTTCGAATCTAGCTTATCCTTGTATCATTATTCTTTTATTCTTTTTTTTTTACCATGGATCTAGAATCCACCCCTATCTACCAATATGGTGCACCTACGAGCGCAAGCCTATAGCCAAAAGTCTTCAAAGCCTATTCTAACACCTGGCTATGAGTTGTGCCCGCGTTTAATCAACATGGTTCAGGATCAACCCTTTTTAGGTGAAGATGATGAAAACCCCTATTCCTACCTAAATGAGTTTGAGTAGACCTGTGCATGCTTGCGCATTGCAGGCATGTCAGATGAAACCTTACGATGAAAGTTTTTTCCTTTCTCTTTGACAGAAAAAACTAAACGTTGGTATAATCTCACCATAGAGAGTAGACAAGGAGATTGAGAAGCCCTATGTTCTAGCTTTTGCTTGCAATTATTTCCCATCTCTAGAGTAGTCAGACTTTGTTCAGAAGTTCTATATTTTAAACAAAAGAAAAAAAATCTCTAGGCATGGTTTGGGAACGCTTTAATACTCTTACTAATACTGGCCCTGACCTTATCATTCAAGACCCTATTCTTCTTCAACACTTCTATATGGGTCTTGATAGGAAAACCTCGAAGCTTCTTAATACGACCTCAGGAGACTCGTTCTTGCATGTCTCCGCCAATACGGGAAGAAGCATTCTTATGAAAATCTTAGAGAACATCTCCAAAGAAGTAGATGAGAAGCCATTAGAGGAAGAATCCCAGATAGCTAAACCCAAATTTTTACCAGACCCATCACCAACTTCAGCTATCCAAAATCCTGAACCACCGAAAAAGGAGGAAACTCCGATTTCGGACTTCATGCTTGAATTCGAGGATAAACTTTTTGATGAATATGGAAATACCTCGAATTACCATACCATAAGGAGACCCCAGAAGTCTAGGAAATCATCATTTCATGAGGAACCTTAAGACCCTTCAGAGAAAGTTTTCCTTAAAAATACTACGAAAGAACTAGTGTCTATTATAAGCAATGAATGGTTAGAAGAATTAGAGCTTTCCTCTAATATGATTCATTTAGATTCACCTTCTATATCCATTCATTGCCAAATTAATAAAGCTCCTTTTAATGCTTTTTATGATCCTATTGTGGGTGTTAATATCATGTCTGCATCTTTTACTCATGATTTATTGAAACACATGCCATTGACCTCAACAACAAAGTTGTTAAAAAGTCTTTCAGGACACATTCTCCTAAGTTTAGGAATTTTGTATGTCCTTCCTATCTAGGTAAAAGGAACCAAGGTTCATTTGAGCTTCTATATCTTTGATATTATGGAGTTCGACCTATTGATAGGACAACCAATTGAAAGACTTATCCAAGAAGGACAAACGAGGAAGTTAAATATAAGGCTTGGAAAAACTTTAAGCTTTCTATACCTATTACTCATTCTCTAAATGCTGAGAGTGAGCCAATTCCCGAAGAAGACCCAATGGAAGAGGTTAAGGTTACATCTCTTGATTATTTGATTGAACCCAACCTTGAGGATGATGCTCAGTTCTTCATCGAGGAAGAAGAGGAAAATCCTACAAAGTCTGAACCTCTTGATGAATTGCTAGAACCAGCTAAGCCCACCATTGATCTGAAACCCCTGTCTTCTGGTCTTAGATATGCTTTTCTTAATAATGATTAAGATTTTCCTGTGATCATAAGTGATAGACTTTTTCAGAAAGAATCCCTACGCCTGCTAACTGTTTTAGAAAAGCATCGTTCTGCCTTTGGTTACTCACTCCTAGGGAATTAGCCTTGCTCTTTGCACCCCTCGTATCCCTACAGATCCTAACTCTGTACCTTCTAGGGAGCCCCAGCGTAGGCTTAACAATACGATGAGAGAGGTTGTTAAGAAAGATGTCTTGAAACTCTTGCACGTCGAGATTATCTATCCTGTGCCACATAGTGAGCAGGTTAGACCTGTTCAAGTTGTGCCTAAAAAGGGAGGCATGACTGTTGTTAAAAATGGAAAGAATGAATTAATCCCCCAAAGAACCGTCACTGGATGGCGGATGTGTATTGACTACCGAAAACTTAACAAGGCAACAAAGAAAGATCATTTTCCATTGCCCTTCATTGATGAAATGTTAGAGCAACTGGCAAATCACTCTTTCTTCTGTTTTCTTGATGGGTATTCGGGTTATCACTAGATACCGATCCATCCGGATGACCAAAGTAAAAATTTACATGTCCATATGAAATTTATGCTTATCATAGAATATCTTTTGGATTATGTAATGCTCCAGCTTCTTTTCAAAGATGCATGATGTCTATATTTTCTGATATGATTAAAGAAATCATGGAAGTTTTCATGGATGATTTTTCTGTTTATGGAAAAACTTTTGATGATTGTCTTGAAAACTTAGACAAGGTTTTGCAAAGATGTAAAGAAAAACACTTTGTCCTTAATTAGGAAAATGTCATTTTATGGTTAGAGAACGCATAGTGCTTAGACACTTGGTGTTCGAACGAGGGATAGAGGTAGATAGAGCTAAAATTGAAGTAATTGAACAGTTACCTCTTTCCATAAATATCAGAGGGATCCGCGGTTTCCTTGGTCATGCTGGTTTTTATCGCTGCTTTATAAAAGATTTTTCACATATTGCTAGACCACTTACAAATCTTTTAGCTAAGGATGTTCCCTTTGAATTTGATGATGCATGTTTGAAATCTTTTAACATTCTTAAGAAAGCACTCATCTCTGCACCAATCATTCAATCCCCTGATTGGTCGCTACCTTTTGAAATTATGTGTGATGCTAGTGATTATCTTGTGGGGGCAGTTTTGGGACAAACTAAAGATAAAAAGCATCATGCAATTGCTTATGCTAGCAAAACTTTGACAGGACCTCAACTTAATTATGCAACAACTAAAAAGGAACTCCTGGCTATTGTTTTTGCTGTTGATAAGTTTAGATCTTACTTAGTAAGAGCTAAGGTGATTGTTTATACGGATCATGCTACTTTAAAATATCTGCTCACTAAGAAAGATGCTAAGCCTCAATTGAGAAGATG